ATGAAACTAGTTCAAGATCTCCTTCAACCATATCGACGGGAATAATCAACGAGCACAAAGAAGAAGCAAACAAAAGAAAAAAATGTTACATAATGGCATGTAACCGCAAGAAAACAGCACCGTACCTGGCGATTAAAGATCTAAAAATGTTTGTTCTACAGTGGAGTAGAGCACGGTTCGATTTCAGAGAAGAAGCGACAATCCACGATGCGAGGATCCGTTGATGGTGGTTCGACCGGGGTTTGGTGGAGGAGGGCTTTTGGGGGCAACAGTCGTAATACTATAATGATTTCTTTTTTTAAAAAAAATGGGGACTTGTAGTTATCAGCATGACGCTTTTTTAGATATTGGTTTGAAGTGTACAAGATTGACGACAATGGAAATATATATAGAGTTCTAAAGTTAATGGAGAACACAGAGAAATGAAAATGATGAAGTTCTCATTGATTATGTCAAAAGGATTTACAAAGATATCTATTAATATATAATAAGGATTAACTTAATTCATTTTTAGTAATCTTTTCCAGCCAAATTCATTAATTATTGTTTAAAATTAGTAACTTAACAAACTTTCATTAATTACATATTGTAATATGGAATAGATGTTTTTTCCAATTAGAATCTCTATAAATATGGAATAGATGTTTTTTCGGATTTGAATCTCTATAAATATTTACTTAACAAACTTCCTATTATATATAATAGATGTTTTTTCCGATTAGAATCTCTACAATATGGAATATAGAATCTATTCTGTAAAACAAATAATTAAATCTATACTTATATAAAAAACTATCTTATTTACTATAATTTGTAATAAGAAAAGTCAAAGGTAAATAATGTATTATATTTTTATTAATTAAGTATTTTATTAATTATTTATTTAATTATTTTATCTCATAACACCTTTTCAATACAACTTACCGCGATTTTTCTATTGTGATTAAAAATACATCTAAAATCTTGTGAAATTATAATTATTATTTTTTATAAAACACATATCATTTGTTAAAAAATTGTATATATATCTAAATATATATATATATATTTATATATATATATATATATTATACACATCACAGTACCATGATAGATGATTGAACATGATTTAAATATCAATCGAACAAAATGTCAATGATTTAAATTTGAACACACCTATGTGTTTGACCAAATGTCTATATGATTTAAAATTGAGCCCATCAAAAACTATTTAAATTTGAACACACTAGAAATTTTATGTACTTTTTTTATTTATAAATATATTGACAAACCCGTATAGTTCATATGGTGGTTTGTAAAAAAAATAGTTTATATGCTGATGCGCCAAAACCGTGATAGTTCCAATGAGAAGAAGTATTTTACCCTATATAATATATAAAATAGTAATTAAATATTATATGGTGAACAAAATAAGTAAAATTGTTACTTTTTCTTATATCAAGAGATAAATTTATATGTTAAAATTAAATTTTTATTAGTATAAATGTTTTAGTGAGATAATTAATTAATTATTTTACAAGCTAACCCTAACATGCTCATATTTAATGTTCTGGCTAAAAAAACAACGTTGGCTAAAAGATGTGGAAAAAAGCTTGTGACTATTGTTTTTTTGGCTTAATGTTGATTAAAAGAGGTAGAAAATAGATAATAACACTAT